TTCATACTTCAAATCCGAGTGTTTTCTAGCTCATCAAGAAATCTTAATCGTGAATTAAATCGTGAATAATATAAAAATATGGGACCAGCTGCTATTTCCAACACTGGTAGGTATGTCAGGTTTTCTGATTTATGAGAGGTGAACTCGAAACCAGCAAGTTTCTAAAATTTTCTGGGGGAGGACCCCCATACCCCCCTATGCCTGTTTTTCACCCCTCCCTCCTTGGAATCCTAGACCCGCCACTGAACAATTACATCTTGGGAGCAGAGAACAATGAACAAAAATGTCACCTTTTCGCATGGATTGCAGAGCTGAGAGGTAGAGGAGCCGGCTCGGTAGGGTGTGGAGAAGGAGGCGGAGGAGCCAGTAAAATATTAAGTCATCCACTATTTTGCGCAGTTCGCTGTTTTTGGTCCCCCTTGTTAAAAAATCCTGGCTACGCCACTGTTTTTGGGTGTTTTCTGATCATATTATTATGTGATTGAAAATAGGCGATTTTGGGATATTTTTTGGGACAACCAGAAATTGTTGCGGACAACCCGATTTGATGCCGGGGTTGTCCACAGGACAACCACATTTTTTTTCTTATTTCGAGCACTGGGTCTACTATAGTATACTGTATAGTAGCCCGACCAGGCTGTGCGACAGATTGTCTATACAATCGGTATTGTAACCCTAGCAATACCGTTTCTTGGAGCTAACTGTATAGTAGGCCTACTACAGTTAATTCATTGCACAATTTAAAAGTTAAACGTAATTGTAATTATTAATTTACATAAAAATTAGACCTTTAGCAGGCCCGTAGCCAGCTTTCTATTGGGGGGGGGGTTCGTTTTTCAATGTTGGAAATTNTATATAGCGTGGTAACCATTAATCTCTGGTGTATAAGCCTTTTGGCTTTCAATATTTTGGGCATGCTGAAGCTGACATCATCCTACCCAATCTGGTGTATGGGGGGGGGGTAGGCTAGCTGGCAGCAATATATGTTCAGTTTTCATACTTCAAATCCGAGTGTTTTCTAGTCATCAGAAAATTTTAATCGTGATTAAATGCGTGAATAATATAAAAATATTGGGACCAGCTGCTATTTCAACACTGGTATAGTTCAGTAGGTTTTCTGATTTAGAGATTGCAACGTTCGATTTGGAACTCAGCAACCAGCAAGTTTCTAAATTTCATGGGGAAGGACCCCGCATACCCCCCTATGCCTGTTTTTCAGCTCGCTCCGGGCTCCTTGGAATCCTAAACCGCGACTGAACAATTTTACATATCTTGGGAGCAGAGAACAATGAACAAGAAATGTCGGCCTTTCGCATGGATTGCCAGAGCTTGAGAGGTAAGGAGGGCCCGTAGGGTGTGAGAGGGAGGCGGAGGAGCCAGTAAAATATTAAGTCTCGCACTATTTTGCGCAGTTCGCTGTTTTTGGTCACCCTTGATTTAAAAAATCCTGGCTACGCCACTGTTTTTGGGTGTTTTCTGATTCATATTATTATGTGGATTGAAAATCGGAGAATTTGGGATATTTTGTTTGGGACAACCAGAAATTGTTGCGGACAACCCGATTGATGCCGGGGTTTGTCCGCAGGACAACCCAACATTTTTTTTTCTTATTTCGAGCAGGCTGTAATATCATATATATATATATATATATATATATATGTATATATTATATTACCTGTATACATATATGGCGTTCAACACGTATACTACGGCTTAGCTGGTACGTCGACTTAGTTGGTGGCTAATCCGGTTAAATGCGTTCAGCACGAGATACACAAGATTGCGAGGCCTTAGCTAGTGCGTATAATATAGACTGGTACCCGTGTCGACAGTTCCGACACGCTACCTAACGTATGCAGCGAACGGGTAGCAGTCTAGGTTAGAGCGCTACAGGTTTTCGCAATTCACGCAACGAAAAATGCGTTTTCACGATGCGCGAACAATCACGAACAATGTCGTTCGACAACGACAATCTACGCGTGCCAGCGTGGTGCCGAATATACGCGGCTTAGTTGGCGGCGGAAGTATGATTCCGCGCTTAGCAAGCCGGAGCAATCGCGGCTAGCAGCCGGGCTGAAGCAAGCCGCGATATTTTAGCGTGTGAACGCAACTTTTCTCCTCGTGTGAACGCAGCTATACTGTATACAGTATTCATTGTCACTGTCAGTAATCGTATGCGATTTATTTTGTAACATCATAAATAATTTTGTCTTGCTGTTACTTGCTGTTGATCTTGTTAAATCAAATAAATACGTGATCTAACAGTAAAACCGCGGTCACTATACTGTTCATTCACAAAGATTCATATTGAAAGAATGACAAGGTTAGGAAACGAGTCACAGCCACACATATCTGCACCGTCGTACGGCATGCAGCCATAGTATAGTCGCATAGTCATATCATTAGCTATGACTTAGTAGTTATACCATTAGTTTTAATTAGTATTAGAGAAAATAGTTACCTGATGTAGTAAGTCCCATATAATCATCATCATCGAAGTGTTCCGAACATACTACGGCATGCTTCGATGGAGCCCAATCTTTTTCTCCTCGTCTTACTGCTGTTTTCCATGCCTTAAACCGCGATTCATCAGATCTAGGGAATGCATGCCCTCCTCTATTATTACAGAATGGTACGCAACACTCTGTCGTCATTTTATCAAAGATTTTGAACAAGTTATCTGACAACTTTCCAACAATTACTTATCTTCGTGATACACTAAACTTATTTACTTTCGGCTATGCTTTCGGTAACCAAGGGACCGAGTTGCGTTCAGCGCCGCCGAGCGGCGGATCGATATTTAGAGTTCCCCATTAGGGGTCGAGTTATAGAGCGGAAGGGAAAGTGTCTGCGGCGGCGCCAAGCAGCAGCGGCGGCAGCGGCTGGACAGACATGAAACCATAGTATCCCCACCGACTTCGTCGCGGGGGATACAAATATCACAGAGACAGAGGCCCAGCTCACATATTCTGCTAGTTCTGGGGTGAACCGAATCCACATAGAAATGGAAAGGAACCCAAATAAACCGAGGCGGTTCAGAAGCCGAAGAGCTGCACAGTCCAGAGACTGCTCTTGAAATGATAGACAGAAAGAAACTGAGATGTGTAACCAGTGTGGTTACCCGAAATACCGAGACAGAGCCACTTGCCCAGCAAAAGGGGAGAAATGCAAATCATGTGGTAAATGGAACCATTTTGCAAAAGTGTGCAGAAACTCTGGCAAGAAACCAGCAGCGTACCATGACAAGCCAAAGAATAAACCCCTACCTGTCCTCAGTGTAGGTGATCCTGTCTTAGTACATAACAGGTGTAACAAAAGATGGGATAAATACGGTGTGGTGCAAGAGCGTAACCTCAAGAATCGAAAGTATGTTATCCATCTTCCATCAGGCCTACTGACTGTGAGAAATCGAATTATGCTGAGACGTAGATTCCCGCCAACCATGGTACCAACTGCAGGAACATCGAAATGGTCACCAATCACTCCAGAGACGAATACTCATGAAGCTACAGAGCCGGAGATCTACGAGAAGGCAATAACTGCATTGCCATCCATCCACTCGCCCGTTGAAGTACCATCAACACTCAAAACCCTGACTGACTGTACAGATGACAATCCTATTGTCATTAATGACAATAGTGACAATATAAATAATGAATGTCACGTGCGAAGACTGTCCTGAACCAGTTCAAAGGTCTGGACGTAACAGGAAACCACCTGTACGATTTAGTGACTATGTGTAAGACCTCCCATAACGGTCGTAATTCAATAGTGTTTACTGTTGTTCGTTTAGTAACATACTGTTCAATGTTTCTCGTTTATAGTTATATGCATTCTAGTACGATCTTGTAAGGGAGGGAGATGTAAGATAATTGCAAAACGTTAAAGTAATGTTTATTCTTTGTACGCCCAAGAGGTGGCGCCACTAGTCTATCATTGAGAGTTATGGGGGCGCTAGTCTCTAGACAATACATGCTGTTGTAACTGCATCTGTGTTAATCAAGTTCATATCAACAATATATTATGTAACAAGTAAGACAGTCGTTGGAATCTTTATTCTAATGCCTCAAGAACACGAGATATATAACAACCGTATTATGAAATTGCATGGAAAAAAATCTTAATATACTGCTTTTCTGTTAATGTATTAATAAACACTACATGCAACTGCATGCGCAATACTAGCTCTAGTACTATAGCCCGCGTACAGTGACTGCCACAGGGCTATAGAACATCTTGAACTAGATTTCGCAGCTGCACTAGCTTCCAAAAGTTCCCACAAAAAATCGCTGACAATACGCAAAATGATCGGGCTTTTTAACACTTATCTATCTACGTGGACATCTCACCTATCTTTTTGAACACTTTCCAAAACTTTACACCATGTATTTATGCATTTATTACTCACAAGTCAGGACTACTAGCAATTCGTTTTGAAATAATGTGGCGTGCGCACGCGTGACGACAGCATTCGGTGATTGACAGCATTCTTGTAGGAGCTACTACGTGTTACCCTTGAGGCGCGCCACCCCAAAAAAAATTTACGGGCCGTTTGGAGATGCCCTCTAGGCGTGGATCGCAGAAATGTCCATTAGATTCCGCCCAGTTTTCGCGGAGTTTGTTTCTAGAGCGATTCAGGTTAATCTGTCTAAGTGGACAATAAGGGGCGGCGTATTCGCTGTGGGGGTGCGGCTGTGCGCTGCGCACAATAACGAGGCCGCATGTCCGTCCAGAGGAGAGACCGGATACTAGAGAGGCAATGCTCAAAGGAGGCGTTGATCCTAACCGCCAAGCGCGGTGTAGCGTGCATTTCCGCGGCAAGGCGCACGCAACCCCAGTTACGTGGGTAGTCGAAACCGTCGTGCTATAAACAGAACTCTGGCTAGTGCTTAATTAGCTCTAGTACTATAGCCCGCGGATCGCTGCCGCAGGGCTATAGCACATTCTGCCATAGATGTAA